TCTCAATTAGTATTTAATGTGTCGTTATGATGTGATATCAAGCCAAGCAATTAATACAACAAATTATAAATAATTTATTTATCAATAGAAGAAAAAACATGAGACGGGATTAGATTTCAAAGAGCAGTTTAAAAATATGTGCGTGTATGCAACAAGATTTCTCTTTGTTTTGAAATGCCGGAGGAATGATAAGATACGGAACAAATTCTAGGAGGCCGATTTTTTCATTGAAATTCTCTCGTTTCGTATTTAACAAACCGTCGTCGTCATCGTCGTATTGTGTGTATGTGAAAAGCAATGTTTCTCTTGAGTAGGAGTCGCGTTTTGTAAGTCGATACGGAATGGAAGCATGTGTGGTAGAGTTTCTTAACTTCTTGCATTTCCGCGAAGCAATCTCAAATAATCCACATATGTTCAAAATTTATATGAAAACGAAGCGGATAGAGACTTACAAATAGAGAGAAAAAAAGGGCGCACTGAAAGGAGCTATTTGCATTCCACGTGAAAGTTTCGAACGCGGAATCATTTCCGCTCTATTTCGAAGATTGGATGGACGACAATCTTAGTGTATCTAATTTTTCTGTCTGAAACCTCATTAAGGAAGAGATAGAAACTTAAGATACGCTATGCAAATTAATGGGAGTACTTAATTTTCTCTCGGTAACGAAATTTGTAATTGAAGTTTTTTTTTCCTGGGTCACTCCGACAGCTGTGCTACAAACTGAGTAAATATTTATTTTTCGTTATGACACTTGTAATTTGTCTGGCAATAAAACTGTACGCTCTATTCACACCTTCATTATATATTATACTTTATCACAAATAATATTTGTTTCTCAATAATATCTAATCATTGCGGTGTATAATGCGAATGAGCATGTAAAATTCGAGTATAATACGCACAATTTACACTTTCGTATATTATATGTTTGTTAGCGGCTTTATGCAATTAAAAATAAAATTCGTGTATAATACGTACCTATTTTATACACGAATTTGCATTAAAAGAATCATAAACACTAGTTCGCATTATATATTAAATATTTTACATCGATTAGAATTGTGTGTATCTACACATTTTTATAAATGTAATTAAACTTTTGAGTAATATAAAATATTAATATAGGAACTAATTAAATCGTTTAAATGTAAATATAAAATTGTGATAAATGTACAGTTATATTTTATTATATACTTGAGATGTTCCACACCTTGATTCATTATGTAAATGATTGATGGTATCTAATTTGTTCTCGCAGTTTTAATTGAAACTTTCTGTAACTTATGTAGAAGCTTGATTATTTAACTTGAAGTAAAATATAAATATTTTCATATCGGCGTGAAAATGTTGATTTACGAGGGGCAATAAAAAAGAAGAAGAATAAGAAGGAAGAAAGAGCAGCGTCAATGTTTGGTCTTCCGATGTTCTAAGAAAGGAATGGAAATATTTATGAATACCTGGATTGTTGTGGCTGGGGACCGGAGGAAGGAAGCAAACGACGTCAAAAGAAATCCTTGGGACGGTTTACGCTGCTGTTTCTTGCATTTCGCTATAAATATGATTTATATATTTAACGCCTCGAAGTTCATTTACCTGAGAGAAGTTCCCTTGAAGCTCTCTATACAGACGCAAATAAATATTTCGATTAATCAAGCATGAAGTAATTTTCGAAAAAAGAAATAATAACGGAGCTAATTTAATCTCTTCACTTTTTTTTCTTTGTCGTTTGTACGTCCGTCCGTCCAGTTGCTCTCTTCAAGCAGCTTTAAATTGCGAGGAGGAAAAAGTAGGTCATAGGTCATAATGTGTTGCGGTACACATATTATATCCACATTGGACCGGTTTTTCGAACCGACACCGTGTAGAAAGTGGACGTAATTTGCAACCGCTCACAATTAGCTCTCGTGATTACCATATGCGGGGATTAATTCCCCAATGGAATTAATAAACTTTACAAGCGTTTAATCGCGTCGGTATAAGAAAGAAATCAATTTCCGAAAGTTATTCAGCAATATTCGTAGGCCCGACAGAGATTCTGATAACCATCTTTCCACCTCCTTCTTCTCTTCATCTTCCTCATCCTCGTCCCTTCATGGTCATTAGGCTTCAATCTTCGAGGAACTAAATACGTCAACGACAGAGCTCCTCTCCACTCTTGCCGATGGCTTTCAGTAGCATCTGGTTGACGATAATAATGATAATAATAATAATAATGCGAGCTGGCTACATTCCTGAACTATCTACTTTTCATTATGCCTGAAGTTGACAAAGTGGAAGATCGGAGCCGTTTCGAAATCGACAGGAAATCCAAACGCTCTCCCTCCTCCCATCACTCTTCTATTTTCATTCCCGACCCGTTCCACATATTTCAATCCGTTTAAAAAAGGAATTGCATAACTGAAAAACGGACCGTCTTCATGCTTCGAATAGTTGCTAAATCGCTGCGTTCATCCTTTGTCAACAACCTCCATCATTTCAATTATTTTTTTTACATATTTATTTATTATATCCTTCCTTATTACTATATCAAAATTACTCATAAATAAAAAAAAATATGTAGCAATATTTTAGAATTTATTTTTATTTTTAAATTTTCAAAACGGACATAAAAGCAACCAAAAATATGGTAAATAATTGGTATTGGTATTGCTATTAATAGAATTATAATGGAAGTCGAGTGACTAAATGTTTCATATCTAATAAAGTTAAATGAGAAAAGGTGTATAATTTCTATTACGCAATTATTACAGTAATTATATAAAATATCAATTATTATTTATACCAAAAACATTTTCGTAAATTTTGATTGCTTATTGTATAAAGTAATAAATAGTTATTAATTAATTAAGAAAAACATATTCATAACTGTTGCAACAATAATTTAAATGAAATTTCTAAAATAGAATTCTCAGGAATCCTCGCGCTTGGCTCCTTCGTTCTACTTCTGTCTCTTATTTCGCGTTTGTCGCAGACTTTATGCCATTTGGAAGACAGGTCGTTGCTGCTGCTGTAGATCGAGAGAAGATTTCTTTAGTGCAAAAACCCGACATTTGCATAACGGCGACAATCTATATGAGTTTGCCCGTTAGAGATTACGAAATTCCCGTGAAGGCACATATAAAACATTTTACTTTTTCAACTATTTATATATATAAAAGAAAGTTGCTCGCATGACTACGACAACAAAGGAAAGATTTACTTTTATTCGAAGATTTCGTAATGACCCGACCGTTGTGGGTACAAGTGATAAATAGAAAAAAAAATGTGTACACAATATGTGTAAGTTATACCTAACCGAAAGTATACTTCATTGAATAGAAAACATGTATTATTGTGAAAAATACCATTATATTATCTAAAAATTGTTATATTTCATTTCTTTGTAAATATTAAATATAATTTATTTTTTTGTTATCAAATAACTATATATTTACATTCAATTTGTATTTAGATTTTTGCTCAAAAAGCACCGGAACACAACAAAACGCATTTTATATATAGGAGTCATTGATTATATTGAGTCTAAGATCATAAAAATAAATTAAACATCAATCTTCGAAAAGTTAGAAGATAATTTACATAAAGAAAATATTTGTTTACAGTTAATAAAAAAATATTTGGAGCTACTAAAGAAGTTCTACAAGAGGTGATCCCATTGAAAAAGCTTCTATTTACGACCATTTTTTTACAATTGCCTCTACTTCTTACTATATTACTCAAATATAAATAAACACAAAGCAAAAAAATAAGCATAATATGGGACAGAATCCATGAAACACGTGTCAATATTATTGTTTATATCTAGAAGTTTGTTGCGCAATATTGATTATTAAGTCTATAAACATGTTATTTCGTTTACTCCAGTTATTCGGTTTCTTAATTCTACACATGTGCAATATTTTTTTATGAATGCATCTGTTGAATCGTTGCTGTAATTTTTAAACTTTGTACTTAAGTGTAGTAATCATAAATATAATTAAAAATTAGAATCAGTTTGATTTTATTACATTTACATTTATTTCAATAATTATTAATTAATTGAAACAAACAAATATTTGTTTTAGTAATTATTCATAAAACATCTGTCTAACAATGTATATAGATTTGTTATTGTTATTGATTATTTTTTTTAATAATGACTTTTAATTCATACTTTGTTAATTGATAATTTAGTATAAAATTAGCATTAATTTATTATTATGTGGAAGTATTTATGATAAAAGTATAAGTAAATATTTGTTTTAATTATGAAATGAAAATAATATTTAGATAAATAAATCATTGACAAAATCCTAGAAAGTACTGAATTTAAAACTAATCCGAACTGAAGGTGATTAGAAGAGTATTAACTTGAAGTGTTCACGTTTAAAGGATTATTTGTATCCGGATTTTGTATGCGAAATGTGACTTTTTCGTTTATTTTTTTTATATGAACGTGATATTGCTACATCCTGGTGTTTCCTTGAAAACGCCTTTTCAGTGTCCTTGCCCAACGCCTAAAGCAGATTCCCCGAAAAAAAAAAGAATCAATACTAAAAAGGTTTTCCCCGGCGGTGCGCGCCAGACTTTATACACATTTTTTTCCTTCTCATTATATCACTATATGACTTTGGCCAAATCTCGCGTCAGTTTTGAATAATATCGTCCCATTCAGGTATGGCCCACAACAATAACAACGGAACGTTTATAAATGGATATAAATAATGGGGGGTTTGCGTGGTGCGATTCATCTTTTATTAAAATATCCCCCAAACGCTTTTGTCCAAATCCCATCGTCATCTAAATATCTTTTTAAAAAATATATAAATAAATAATGAATGTATGCGCCGTGCATTTACATTTATATACGCTTCATTAACATAAATACAAATTGTAATGGAACCGGGCTCACGTCATGCCCAATCAAAACAAAACAAGAAAATAAAACGATTGCATCGATGACACCGACGACAAGACCGGAGCGAAATGGTTGCGAACAGAATCGATCTACTTAAATTACCTGGACTGCATTCGTGATCACAGTTTCCGGAAGTTGAGGCATTATTCAATTTTTTTTTTGTATCAAAAAAAAATCAACACTGTTGTGGTACTGCAGATGAGGGGGTTTTCACTGGACGGTCTTTTCCTCCGCAATGTTTTCCTTTCTTTAGTTTAAATCCCAAAAAAAAAATTGGTTTGCACAAAAATGTTGGAACAGTCACATCACAGCTTCTACTCGATCGCTTCCTAGGCGTCGCATTTGCAATAATTTTTTTGGTTGTTTTAAGAGAGTTTATGTTTCGATTTTCCGGAAAAAAATTCACATAGGTATGCGCGTTTGAACAGATAAGAACTGATCGGTATAGTGCGGAGTGTAGCGTTAAAACGAGGATTGGTGACTCAGTCGAGAACGCTCGTACAAATTCGAGGATGGATGGTTACACAACCAAAGGTTCCACTGCACGGACTCGACGATTCACTTGATCCACTACACTTCATCCCCATTTCGTCCATGCTACACCTACATATTATATATATTTTTTTTGCATCCTCCCACGTCGAATCCCATCCTATCTTATAGTATTGATCAAATCAGACTACCTACAAACTATGTTTGTAAAGGTAGTCCCCTGAATGATAATGCTGATAAAGCGATAAAAAAAATATACAAATATATCACCTATATCGATACACACACACATACATTTTTAGTGTTTAATGGGTTTCAGTATTTTGAATTCAATCCAACGCGTTTCGTTTTGTAATATAATTGCGGCTCATCTTATATAACAAAAGCAATCTCGGCGCTTGTCTGTCGCGTCTAATGGCATCATTTATCTTATCCCAACTTCCTTCGGCCACTCAACTGCAACAAATTGTCCTATACAAAGCGGATGCATATGCAATTAATTTTATGAAATAATCATAATTATGTAGCTTACATACATTGCTTTTTTTAATTATCCATAAGAATTGTCCATAAAATGTACTCATATTCAAATAATATTTGAATCTGTCAATTTAGGCAACCGAATATACTCAAATTTTCAAATTCATATTTATTATAAAAAAAAAATAGATTAGCGTAATGCGTCGACAGGACGTAGCTAAATGGTAGAGGCTCTTCCTAGAGGGAAGAAGCAGTAGGAAGGAAAAAAATATTATAAAAAATATCAAAATCAATTAAATTTTGATGATAGATCAATTAAAAGTTATCAAAATCATCATTAATTGTATATATTTAAAAAAAATAAAAGCATTAGAGTTTTTACTGAAAATATTGATTTACTACATTTATTGTACTACGTTTTCAATTAATTGTAACAATCGTTTATAAAATTGATGGATCTTCATACAATATTAGATTTTTTCTATACAGGCAACCAGATATACGTAGCGATTTTAGATTACATTTAATTTCTTTATAAAACACAATTTTCATATATGAATAAATATAAAAGACTGTGAATAATAATGTTAAAACGACAGAAAGCCTATGGTCTATAGCCCATTGTAGTAGTGGATCTTTCATGTTTGATTATTGTTCCAAATTCTTTTTCAAATTTTTATTTGTTTTATTCAAATCTTTATAAAAGCACTTATGTAATCATAAAAAAAATATCATACATGTTTTTTTTTCATTATTCAATATTGCCTACTGTTAAAATAGATATATTTTTCTTCAATTCACATTAGTTGCTTCCAACAGATTTTTTCATCGAGAGACAAAATTGAACTTAAAAATTAATTATTCCATTTGGAATTACTGGGCTGGAAAGGGTTAAATGTTATTGAAAATATTTTGTTTTATGATCACATGATTTATTAGAAATAAATAAAATATCCTATGTGTGGAAAATCATTGTTTCAATATCAATAAAAGTTTTATCAATAAAAGATTTCTCACAATAATAATTTTTCTGATAAATTTAACTTATTGCAATTGTTTACGTTTTTATTATTTACATTCCAAATTATGTTACAACTCTCTTATACTAATTATTATTAATATAAATTCTTAAGTAATATAATGTTTACATGATGCTATTATTCAAATAACATTAAGCTTACTTAAATACATCTTAGTATTATTTTAGCACAAGATTAATGATTTCAATAAAATTTTATGTAGTTAAAGTACTTAATTTATAAAAATATTTTGTTATTTCTTATTAAATTAAAGGTGAACGTATTTGTATTAAGTTAATTACAGTATTTTTGTTTGTCTTTAATCAAGTTATGCAACTAAAATTACTACGTTTCTAGTAGCAACACAAACAAATCATACAAACAAAAACATTGAATTCATCCCCAGTGCATATAGAAAACGACGTCTGTTATACTTTTAATTTTGTTTAAGTTCTGAATTAAACTATGACCAATTTCGATCTGGACGATCCGCTCGGCGATCTTCTCTCAGACGGAAGCAACGATAGTTTCTTCGAAGAAGCGAAACCTGCAGCAAAGAGGTCCAGTTTAAGCAAAACTCCGGAAAAGAAAAATATTTCCGATTTGTTTGGTTTGGAAGAATCCAAGTCTTCCACTAAAAAGGACGATTGGCTCGGCCTAAAGAAGTCCGAAAGTCCTGTGAAAAAAGCTTCCAAGAAGATTACTTTTGAAGAAGATGACGATATTCTAAATATATTAGACTCAAAGAAGCCGGAAACTTCTAAAAAGTCAGCATTGATAGAGAGTTTGAAAAATCCTACCAAGGAGGAAGATAAGAAAGCGTTTTCGCTTGACGATTTACTAAAAGAAAGCAAGTTTAAGAAGAACGATCCAATTGAGACGACCCAATCAACTCCTCATATCAATCAGAGGTCTGAAGGATTTGGTTTGTCTTCACTTGAAGCTCCAAGAGAAGGAAGACGTAGACCGAAAACTGCTGCAGTTGCTGATCCTCTGGGATTATTTTCTGAGCCTGAACCAGAACCGAAACCTGAACCTAAACCCAGGAAAAAAGAACCGGAAACGGAAATACTCTTTCAAGCGAGTGAAATGAAAACTAAAAGCACGCCTAATATTGCATCCGATGTTCCTGATTGGTTGGGTGGAGCTGCGATGAAACCCAACAAATCGGAAACGACCGTAGAAACGTACGAAGCAAAAAAATCTGAAACTGTGCAAGAACAACTTCCAGTAGAATCGCTGATAACGCATCAAAAATTGGCAGCTTCGCATTTCGATTACCAGAACGCCTCTTTGGCTTTGCAACAGCAGGAATCTCAAGTTCTAATGGCTTTGCAGCTCAGGAAATATGAAGATAATTTATCTGAAATTCAGAATAAACAGCAAGAGGTTATTATGAAACAAGAACAACACTTCAATAGTTTACTGGAACGTCAATTTGCTAAGCAATCGGCGATGGAAAACAACATGCGGCTACAACAGGAACGAATAAATAATCATATACAGATGCTCATTGGTCAACCATCTGTGCCAACAATGAAATCCGCAGAAGACGAAAAGTTTGAGGAGTTGAAGAAGTCCGCAAATGAAGAAACTACTAAACAATACGAAGATTTAATTAACACTTTGAAGCAACGACATCACGATGAATTATTTTTGCTCGAAGAATCCTACAAGTATAAATACTCAATTTAAACAATGTTTATAATCAATAATATTAATATTATTTTTTTTAGGAAACAATTGACTACTTTGGAGCAATCAATGGAATCGATGGAAAATCATTTGAAAATGGAATTGGATACAATTACAATCAAAAGTAGAGAGAAAATGGAGCAAATAGAATCTGAACATGAGTCGGAAATTTCTAAGCAGAAAAGAAAAATTGAGGAATTATACGAATTGCATCAGACGGAAATAAAGCAAATGCGGGAAAACAATAATCGCATTTTAGAGGAAGTCAAGTATGAGTATAACACTATTATTGAGAACATCAAGATGTCTAAGCAAACCGAAGCAAGTGCTTTGCAAGAAACAACTGCGTATTCTCACAAATTGGACAGCAATTTAAAATTGTTGGATATCAACAGCAGGACTTTATTGGAAATGAAACACAAGGTTGAAAGTGATTATGGAATTTTGAGTGTTGCCAGAGAAGAATCTTTGAAAGCGAAAGAAGAGGAAATTAAATGTAAGTTATATCATCTGAAAAAAATAATGTTTTGTTATCTTCAATTAATTATATAGTGATGAGATTGGCTTTGGAAAAATCTCGAGATTCGGCTGACTCCGAAAGGGCTCAATTGATGAGTCTAGTGAGAAATTTAGAAATTAAACTAGCCGAACAATCGCAAAACTCAAGGGAGGAGAGGTTTGCTCTACAACAAGCAGCTTCCACGTTAACAGCTCGAACTGCAGCTTTGGATAGAGAGGCTGATTTTAATAGGGCTTCCATCGAGAGGGAGAGAGAACAAATGAAGGTAATTATATTTCATTAGGTGGTAAGTAACTGAAAGTTTTAAGTAACTAATATGTTTTTTTTTTGTTATTAAGACTTTACGTGAAAGCATTTTGGCTGATCAAGATAAAATGATACAAGAGATAACCGAGCAAAAGTTGGCTTTGCATACTGAAAAGATCAAACTGGAAACGAGTATTAAGCTTGGTCAAAATTACGATTCTCAACGTGCCAAAGTTGAAATGGAAGCTGCGATGCAAGTGGCCAAAGAAGCAGCTGAGATGACGGACAGGGAAAGAGATAATTTGCTGAGGCAAATTCGAGAAGTCGAGATTTTGAAAAGGAATTTGATCGATAGAGAGAAGAAAGTGTCTTCTAGGGAATTGGAGCTGGAGAAGTCGTTAGAACATGCTAATAGGAAGAATGCGGTTGGTGAAAGAGCATTGGAGGAAGCAAGAATGCTCCAAATTAATTACAACGAACGTTTGAGAGAAATCCAAGCGCAAATGGCGTCTTTAACTGCACGCGAACGGAAATTGGCGGAAGAGAAGATAAGTATTAGCAGGGAGAGATTGGCTTTACATAATAACGTCAAACAGATGAAGAAGTGTAGTTTATGTGCCATTGATAATAGTAGGAAGTTTGAAGACGAAGATGAAGACCCCGAGGATGAAATGGTCGAGCACGATATTCCCAGATTTATAAGTGTAAGATGAAGTTATTTAACGAAAATTCATTTTCAGATTTTTATTATGTTTTTTTTTTAGATGAGCGACGCTGATCTGTTTCGTTTACAGTTGCAACGAAGCGAAGATCAATTGGCTTCTACACACAACACCGAGGATCGCCAAAGTTTGCATTAACTTTAAATTTCCCGCGTCTTCTAATAGTAATAAATAATACCTAGTTTAGATTTTTTAACAGTAATATTCGTTTATTATCATTAATTGTATAAAAAAATAAGATACAGATTTTTTCATATTTTCAATAAACTTTTTTCTACTCTTGTATTTTTTGTGTTTGATGACACCCAATCTTGAATAACCCTTTTGGGTTACAACAGTATTATTTTTTATATAGTAAACTTTATAGAAATAATATCAAGAAAAGCAACTACTCACTAATACTTTACATAACTGAATTAATACGAAGTCGATTAATAAATAAATAAATTACAAATTAAGAAATAAGTGTGGTAATAAGAAATGAAGACGCTTCGTCTTGATTAACTCTTTAAACCTTAATATTTATTTACAAATTAAAACAATTCAATGCAAACTCCACTCTTCTCAAACAGGAGATTCAAATATACATTTACACAATGATAGGCCGTTTGACTACTCTCGAGAAAATGATTATCTTCAAATAAATTAAGTTAGCTACGAACTATGAACCTTAACTATATTTACAAATTGCAATATAATATTAGTAATGTAACATTTATTTCGTTTATACTTAATCGTACATATATATATATTTATCTCTTTACAAATATAATATAACAATATATTTATATCTTTGAATAAAATTTTTAATTTCCTCGCATTTCACAAAATCCTCTCGTTTAGTACACGGTAATACACAAGACGGGAAACACAAAATCATATGAAAGGCACTTAAATTTAATTGCATAAACATTTATTGATCCGCTTGTGGCCCAAGGGATAAATAAATCGTTATGCAGTAACGTTGAAAAACCGCAATAATAAAAAAATTTAGTGATCACAGCACCTAATCACAAAATGGACGGACCATTTGAGCCTACAAAATATATAATATGTTTTCCTTAATTTTCATCCAATTATTAAATATATATGTATTTTTTTTTTACAAAGAAACTAATTGCATGTTCGACGTGGTTTGACGTATAAAAAGTTAATGATCCCTAAAAATCTTGCAGATAAAAATACAAAAATATATTAATATTATGAGTTCATCGATTAAAAGAGAAACCAAAGTAAGGCAATGCCTTCTTCTGCTGCTTAAGAAGATCGTTCTAGCAGTTGCGGACATTTCTCGACGATGTTCAGCAGTATTCCGTCGATGTAGGAGCGTAGTTGAGCGTTAACTTCTTGCTGTTCCTTCAGAGCTTGTTGGATCTTGAATAGAAACAAAAATTTAGAGATTAGATTTACTCAAAATCAAGAAAAATTGTTGAAGAACAAACATAGTTAATTGTGTGAGTTCGTGTGTGTTTTTGGATGCATGAGAAAACAGAATTAGTGCGGTGCATACCTTAGCTATAGCATCTGGGTCCCTCTGGAAATTGTTCTAGAAAAACGAAAATAAACTCATATAAGCACCCAGCATTAATTCCCCATTAAATGAACGATAAGAAGCGAATAAAGCCATGACTGATATTAAAAATTTGTTTTTTTTTTTGGTTTAGTTGTTTGTGCGTTTGCACTTACCTCGTCTTGAGTCATTTCCTCCAGCTCTGAGGCCAAACTGAATTCTCCGGCGGTGAGTTTCCTGCCCTGCTCGACTCCTGCGTGCAAAAGATTCGCCTGAAGTTCTTCGTTGGCTTCTTGCAGTTGGCTATTGATTTCTCTGAGTGATGCCATTTCTTCGTGCAGCTCGTCCAATCTCAGGGCTTCCGGTGATGTGGTAGGAAGTGCCGGAGTCCTTGCCTCCGATCGCAGCCTTTCTACTTCCTTCGATAGCTCTTCTATCAGCTGATTGTGGGCTTCATGTTCTTTATTCAGTCTGAAAAATAAAGAAAAACAACTGTTTATATATAGGAATACGCATTTCCACTAATGCATTATCATATGCTAAAAAGATATTATTTTATACGCTGGAGAGGTCATTAGACTACAACAATGGTTCTATATTAATATCTTGATTCAATTTATTATTTTGTAAATGTTGTTACTATTATTCGTACGTAAAAATCTAGATTTAGAAATTGTTGCAAAATAAATAGCAACAAACTGATTAACATAAAGTTTTACATATAAGATAACTTTCCAAGTATAAACCATTATTAATCTTCGCGAATTGAGCTTTAAATAACTTTCCAGCTGGCTTCTGCGTACTCGCCACTTAATTAGTAAATATTTGTATAATACAATTCAATTACACAATAGACTAAATAAGCTAACGGTATTAACGCGTTTCTTCTACGGATTGAATAATATTTATACAACATATCCGCAGAAGAAATGCAATATTAATTTTAGCTATTTGAAAATATAAATGAAATTTTTGAAAAAATGTGAACGATCATAATAATACAGGAATTTATATTATATAATAGAATTTGTAGACTTCAAGCCCTTATAGACTAGCCGGTACTGTTGTCTATTAAGAGAAATTAACTTACTTATTACAAATTAAATTAAATAAATTTCGAATAGAAAGTTTTTTAATTCTAAAATGTAGCTTAATTAAGATTAATCATCAAATGATAAGAAATGTTTTTAATATTTCGTAGCGATGTGTGCATATACATACAATAAATTAGGATGTATAATGACATCATTTTCGTGATTATTTACAATTTTTTTCGCGGTTTCCTTATTTCTTAATAAGTTTGGAATTTTGCTAATGATGCATTCCCTGCGTATATTAATCTTATCAGCAGAGCTGAATCGAAGTAAACGACATTTTTACTTCTACTGTTTGAAAAATGTGTTTAATAAAGTAAGGTTAAGGTTATACCATTTGACCCAATTGCTACGATTAAAATCGTTATAAAAGAGTCATACATAAAAAAAATACTGTAGGTGACGATTTGCGAAAAGTAAATGAAAAGACTCCATGTATCAATCATTCAATTAATATCAATTATAAAAAAATGAAAGCGATTATTTGTATTAACAAAATAGATAATAGATAAAAGAGATGATGTTCGATATCCGTGAAACGGAATATCGCGTTTTCGTGAAATACATACAGATGTATTTTTAGGGCTTTTTTCTTCTGACAATTGCGCTAAAAACATTGACTTTGATCATCAATGACTGGCGCTCTTGGCCATCCTCCAATTGCTCTCCGCGTCCGAAAGTAAAATCTTATACACATTTATAAATAACGTATACGAACATCAACATCATTCATTAAATTTACCTTTAGTTATAAACAACGAAAAAAATTAGAACAAAGTTATTTTTAACCGTAGAATTATTACATTGATCTATGCGCAACACTTTACTATTTGAGAAGACGAGATTCTTCAAAATTCAAGACATTTATGATGAATAATTTATATTACTTTCGACGGAACAAAAATCTTTGGTTTTTATTTTTTTTTAATTACAAGATATCACTGAGATATATGTAATTCAAGACATGTGGAGAACACATGCTTAGTGATTTATAAAAGAAAACATTGCTGTAATATACAAAAAAAATTTATAATTTATATCACAGAAATTGTATATTTTATTTTTGCATAAAGAAAATGTGCATTTGTGTTTAAAATAAAATTAAGCAAAAATGTCATTACATTCATATTCTACGTGTTTTGTATATGTTCGTTATCAGTGCTTATCGTAAGTCATTTATTTTATAATGACATTAAAGAAAAAAAGTAAACTTATTGTATCTCTAATAACAAAAATGAAAAATTTTGCAAGTTTATATATGATTATAATAATCAAATGCATAATTCCAATTAAATCTAAGCAATAATGGTAATAACATTTCTTATATAATTTCTGTAAAAATATTTTCTAAAATATTTAATATCTTAATGTTGATAATAAAAATCCTGATTCGAAAGTAGAGAAACAAATAATTATGTAAAAATATATATTTTTAGGTTTACTTCTTATTGATTGTATAAGTTTTGTTCTTATTCTATAGTAATATAGAAATTGTATGCATTATTTTTATAGATACTTTAACGTATTTTATGGTAATTATTGAAGCATCAATTTTTAATTAAAATATTAAAATATTGAATTCATTTAATGAAATATAATAATAATTTTGAATTACCTTCTCTCCTGTTCTTTAAGTCTATGTTCCTGTTCCTTGGCTTCGGAAATATCGTACCGCAAATCCTGCAGTTGATCGTGTAATTCAGTCCTCTCTGTTTCCAACTTTTCGATCCTGATCCTCTGCCTCGCAGCTTCCTCTTTAAAGTTGCTGGACTCGCCTTCGGCAGCGTGCAATCTGATACTGGAGTTCTCGAGTTGCAGGAGTTTCTCACGTTCGATCCTAGCCATAAGCTCCTTCGACCTTCTCTGCTCCTCCTAAACAATCGAACAGTTGCAATCAAGAGGAACTACAATAAAGGACTAGGTATAAATTACGTGTATCCTTTCATCGGCCCGCATCTCGGAATCCCTTAATTGCTCCTCCAGCATGATGACTCTCGCTTGAAGGGCCGCATTGTCCGCTTTGGCCCTCGTGTAACGTTCATCGTTGTGGGTGGCTGAATCTTGGAGAACGCCCATCTGCTGCTGAAGGACTTGAACCTGAAAGAATGCAACGCATTAATTGGGAGAATCAAATGAGTGGTCGTTCATTGAGGAATGTTAAACGGTCGCAAATTACTTTGTCGCTTGTCAGCAACTTCTTGAGACCGTTCTGTACTTTTTGCACGGGCTTCTGGGTGCGCATCAGACCCTGAGGGATGACGGTACCGGAGGGCCCGATGAATTCAAACTGCCCTTCCCACATGTCGTAATCCATTTCCGGTTCGTCATCGCCGTCGTCGTCATCCTCGACGTCGGAAACGCGAAATTCGTCCTCGTCCTCGCCGTCGCTCATGCTTGCAGATCCCCGTAACATTTATTTAAAACTGTGACATTGCGCGCTCCGGTTTAAATTTTCTTTTCTTTTTCCGTGCACAGTCTTATGTAGTTTCTCTTGTTTTTTACGATAAGCGAATTGATAACCCCGCACGAATCAGAAATTAAAATTGTGGCAAGTTTATCGAAACGCGCACAACATGTAGACAGAGCACTGGGCGTTCTATTCGTGAAGCACCTCGACTTAGAACTGAACTTTTATGTTTGTTATATTTTTGGCGTATTACACATTACGGGCTCAATGCAATAGATGGATCCGAACCGAGCGGAGAACAACAACAATCCGTGAGAAAAACTATGGAAAAAGTATGTTTGAAGCCGGGTGTAAATGGGATTATGGCAACAAAACCGCGCCTTACGTTCTCAATTAGACTGAACGACCGACTGACTCTCGTATCTATCAGCTGCAATGTGTGTTTCGTAGTGACGTCAAAGCCAATGTGCTGTAGATATAAGCCAACATTCTGTATATTATCTACATACACTTGTACTCTCTCCGATACACATGTATTTTCCTAAACGAACTCGCACATACGACCATCCAACGGCAAAAGAGATGTTTATAATTTCGATTCAGACGTTTGGGTGCATTCATATGCAGTTAACACAAACACCGGAAGTTCCCTACGATCCATCCATACGTAAATGGTTTTGGTTGCGAGGGGGTTGGAATACCCACGTCTCTCAACGGACATAACATGCCGATGGCCTTATACGAGAACTGCATTCCACGCGATATTTGTGTCACTCGAAAGTTCTTGATGCATCGAGTAAAATTCAATTATATGCTTAATTGGAAATAAGAAATGTTAATTGCAATCTATATACGTGAAGATTTATTTTTTATACTTCTTCAATTTTCATGAAAGAGAAAGCTAAGATCACCGCAGAAAAAACTGGAATCAGCTCTTCGTTCTATTTATATAAAAAAAACACGAAAACTCGAACATTATTATTAACATTTTACAAATCTATAGAATTAAATCATAGAATTACATTGAAAAAAGTAGCCACTAAATTAGTTTTATCTTAATATATCCAATAATGTCCAGGAAATAAAAAATATTTATATTTTTGTTTATAAAGAACTAATGAGAAAATATTATTAATCAATAATAAGAAAAAGCGGATTTTGAAAATTAAACATAAATGAAAAATTAGATCATTTGTTTAACGTAATTATAATGATGTATGAAGAAATAAAGCTAGACGAGAGAAATAGCAAATAAACATGAAAAGATTATTGACCGCACTTGATATTTAAATTTAAATCTCATAGAAGAAGATATTTATCTATATTTGTACTTGAACAAAATCCATTACAACCATCCATTCTTTATAAAAAGTATTAAACTGTTGACTAAATAAGATTTACAAACAATTTGTAAATACTACACATATTCTAATAAAATAATCAATGGAAACTTGAAAGGAAATATAATTACTAATACTTCTTTTTATACATAACCGTAAACATATTTTAAAATAAATTATTAACGTCATAAACAAGTAATAATAATGATATTCTTAATGCATATTAATATCAGTTCTCGTAAATCTGAAATTGTCTTTTATAAATCCAGTTTGTTAATTTCGAAACATCAAAAACGATTTACTCATACTTTCTTCTCAGAAGTCCTTTCATGTTTCACAGCCGTTTATATGCTCGATTTAATCGTTGTTAGTAATCATTTATTCAATATAATTCTCATGCAATTTTAAAGAAAACCAATACAAATTGACTAAATTTAATAGATATAATTTAAAATTTAATAAATACTATATTTATTTATCACCAATATATTTTTTTAATAATAATTAATTTTAAAAAAACATTTGAAATTTTTATTACAATTATTTATAATTTCATATTGGATAATAATCATGCTAGAAATAATCCAATAGTGAATGTCTTTTAAAATACTTGTGTAGCTTTCTAAAATATAGAGCTTCTATTTGTGTAACGTATGCAACACAAAAAGCAGATTGGAAAAAAATGTGTGCACTTGACTACGTTTATTTTTAAAACCGTTGCATTAATTTAAGTTCTTAATCTAAACCAAACATGAACACTTCAGTGATTAATTATAAAAATAAGTAAAAGATATATAAAAATACTCTAATCAATTTTCATATTTAATTAAAGCTTATCCATTTGAAATGAATAAAGAATTTACAAATCTTTTATAATAATGTAATATAATCTAATGTTTAGAATCGTTCAAACAATTTATCAGTTATTGACATATACTTAAATGTTTTACACAATTTTCATCCAAATGAAATTTAAAAACCATTTATATCATCTAAAATTAAATAAACTCAACATTTTAATATGTAAATCTTGAAAGTATTTTAAATTAACATTCCTTCAAATATACTGTTATAAGTAAAATATCAATAAAACCGAATGTACAAAAACTTTCATCACTCAACAGTAAGAAAATTCTCTCTGTAAAAAATATGTTTGAATGCGTTTTTCATGAGTTTACTGAATTGATCGTTCCATAGAAACAAATATCGGTCATCTTGCAATACATACGTTTCTAAAATTAGTTTCGGATGTTGCCAATTTTTTTTTGCGTACTTAATATTATTGGATCGTTACAAAATGCAAATAACTCTGCAATACATATATTTGTCAGAGGAAGAGGAATAAAAGAGACGAGTGTTAATAACGTATTTGTCGAAGAGAAATCGCACACACAAATTGGTGTCAATTGATCAATAAATGAATGCATTACTCACGTTCCAAATCCCAATGATCTTAATTTATTTGCTATGAAGATGCCAAAGAGATAATACTAGAATATACACCAAAATCAATAATTTTCTATTTTTCTTCATTGATTTTAACATCTAAGAAAACGTAAAAATACGAATTTATTTTATTTACTGTGGCTTATCTATATTCTATTTTATATTTTAAGAAAAAAAGTTAAATTAAAGTATTTTGTTTGATGTTAAAAAATGGTGTCAATTATACTTATTATCTATCAAATATATGTTAATATATTGAAAAAGATATATTTTTTAAAACTTATTTTTAATTAATGGTACTTATATTTTTATTGTGTGAATATTCACATTTGTTCTAATAAATCATGTAAATATCTTGATTTAGAAAAAATAAGTGATTAATATAAATGTTAATTTAGTCAATGAATATAATTAATTAATTTAATAATCAAATATATACATTCTTAATAATAATCATATTTTTTATAATATACGTAAAATTACAAATAATTGTAATAAAAAGCAAAAATAATGCACACAGTGAATTATTCAGGCCTTGTGTATATTTTGAAAGCCATTGTTTCAAGGAATTTACGAGATATTCCCTACTTCATAAATAAAAATGTTGGTATAACGAATATATACATATTGCGTTCAACTAAAATTATTTTTGGTTTCACTTATTTACATTATTTGGCTAGAAAGTGATGTAGAAGAGCTCTGAGGTCATTCAAATCGGGTGGGCGTTCTCAACGATCCACGGTCGTTTATATATGGTATGACATACCCATTTTTAGTGGAAGTGCGCTCCGCCGATGAATCAAATGTGATGAAGCTCTAACGCCAAACAATTCAGTATTGTAAATGTCCCAGACAACAGCAACAAAATTAGATTGTTGCTTTACAATTAGAGAATTGAATAATGTTGAACGAAATCTATGAATTCAATTTCCTAAAAGGCTGATGACCGAAATTACGAACGTTTCTTTTTATAAATGATAGTCAAAATATGTATAAACTCAAATATTTAGATTATAAAATAGGTATAATAACAATATTTCTGTTCATAATAAATTAATGTTTAAAAATGTTCATAAGGTCATAAATTTTTCTATGCAGAATTTAACTTAGTGGTAGTATTATTAATGAAGATTCGAATGGCTTAAATGAATTAAAAACATTAAGTGATATTATCTAAGGTCAAACCCAAGTGAATAAATCAGATTGATTTTAATGGGCTCGAAATATAGGGTTGGTTTATTTCCAAAGAAATATCATAAATTTTTACAGGCAAAAAAAGGGTGTTTCAGCCTCTAGCAAAAATGCCATTCATCATTCGGAATCCTTTGCATCCGCCCAGAGAAACAAAACAAAAAAATAGAGAGAATCCCCGCATTTCGAGCTATTTTTACAAAACGACTAAATATAAAACCGAATACATATGCAGTATTGCGCCGTGCACCGCGCATTTGCATTCCCTTACGCAACTGAAAAACCCGTGCGAAAATGGCTCCATTGTTGGAAGCAATCCATTTCCAAATGGTTCCATTTAATTTCCTTCTGCGAAGGATGTTTGCGATAAGAAGAAAAAAGTGGAGTAAAATCCAATAAAAATGTTGTAATTTTAGTTACACGAAACATTAGATGTTGTGAAGTTCTATAGGATTTATATCAAAACGCTGAGAAGATATCAGCTGTTAAAAATGTGAAGTTTATGTTTAAATTTAGTTACCTTGTGGTTCAGGTCCAGCACGTCTTCCTCGAGGGACGCATCTGAGTACATGTCATCAGCGGTGTCGCAAGTGCTGCTCCTTCCAGACGAATTGAAACTGGAGCTTCGATAAAGTTGACTAAAAATAATACGCATGGAATTGAAATTTACTAATTAAAGATCGTCGTTGGACGGTGATGTGACTTACCTCGCTAAAGCATTGGAGCCGAGCTGCTGCCTCTTTCCGGCGCTGAAACCAAAATGAAAAATTCTTCTCAAACAGTTGAAAAAACGAACGTTTCGGGGCACAAACAAAAGTAACGCAGCTTGGATAGTACTGACGTGCGGAGAAGAAGAAACACAACACAAACAGCGAAACAACAAACACCCACGATTTATAAACTGTTACGTTCAAAATAGAAGGATAAATTCCCTGTTTATTTGTTCACTAATCCCTATCGACCCGTTAAATAATAGCAGTCTCTCTCCAGGTGGAGCACTTCCTGCAGACTGATTTTACTGAGAGCCTATGGTCAACAAGTTTAGAAAGTGGCCAAATCATTTCGCTAAAGGTCACGGTCGGGTTTTTAAATTTGAATTTTATATTTTCTCTGATGAAAATACAGACTCATTTTTATCTCAATTTAATCGCATCTTGTATTTGAATTAATATTTTCCCTTCTGTGAACACATCCTAATTTTTCATAAATCTTAACTATTTGACAATATTCTTATTTTCATCAATATTTTCTCGTTGCCTACACTGCCTCAATGTTCATAAATTTTAACTGACACATTGCATCTTCTCTTTAGAACTGTGCCAATTCCCGATTAACACAATTTCCTCATTATATGGCTTCACGGTTTACCTTGAATACCACTCTTGTAGGGTCTTGTAAATTGACCAAGAATTTAATCCAACGATCGCCGATATCCGGTGCTAAACAACGTTCTTGCAAAATCCTATTTCGTAATTACACGCAAAGTACAATGAAGATATCTTTACAAACTTCGTTAAATAATTAACGGTTATTACATTTGCTGCAATACAAGTTAAACCAGATAGAAATTTAATCTATATTCACTAATATGTTATGAATTCAGACAGAAAACTTTTTTTTTTAATGATAAAGAAAATTTCTTACTTGCATAATAAAATATACCATAAATTATTGAAATTGTGTGGTAGGATGATGGGTCATCGAACCTAATTATACCTGTTCCACCTACACTTGATTGTTATGTAATAAAATTAATTTTAGATCTGTTGACCAAATAATTTATTTCTTCACGTTGCAATGATTCACGTGTTTCTTGTTTCATATTTATTGTAATTATTTATGTAATATCATATTTTTTAATGTCATAGGTTGAGAAACGTTGTTCTAGAATAATGTATATATTTCTGTATCTATGAATGAACACAAGTAAACAAATCATATTAAATACAATATCAATTACTATTGAGATAAATACATTGATTTAATTACAATTTCCTGTATTTCTTGACCTGATTTCATTCATAATTTGAACATAATATAAAAGAAAACATATATATTATATTTATAAAGTAATCATTATTTATAATTGATTCATTCTCTCTGAGAAAAAGAGATTTTAAAACTGAAATGGAAAATGCATTTGAAAACGTTTCAGAAAAATGAATCTGGCTTTGATAGAGAAAGGCGATTAATTTAGAAACGATCTAGTTAATTGTTGATCATAAATTGTGTACCAACAGACATTTAGAAAGGAAAGTATCGAACATACATCTATAAATGTATTTACAAATGCACGCACTTTTCATTCTTTTGTAGCAATAAATTAATAAATTAAATACATTAACATTATTATGTTAATATCCATATAAATATATCTTTATAATATCTTATTTGCAATTAGAAATAAATAAAATTTTCAACAATCAATATGGAAATTACATAAAGCAGACTTACAATTATTTTTGCTTTTTTCTATTACTTGATTGAAAATTGTCTTCAAATAAAGAATATTAGATTAAACTATTTCCTTTTTAAGAACACATACAATTCTGATACTTTAATCTATTAAACCCTTAATATTTGTATTTAAATATGCTTAAAATTGATTTAAAGAAAATAATTGTATAAAAAAAGTCTGATTTATATTTGGAAATGTTTCCATCGAAATAGATGATTGCAATTTTTATTGTAATTTTATTGATGGTGCGTAACATTCTATTTGCAAATTACATCACATGTGACCCAACAATTCTCCAAACAAGTGTATGTGTATGTGTGCAGCGCTAACGGAGTTTTTTTCCTTTTGTTTCAATTTACTTTTAAGCGAATCGATTTCAAAAGTGTACCAACAGTTCGTTGACCAAGATTTATCGGAAGGCCAGAAGACTCTTGCATAGACCAAGAAAGTCACACACTCGTACACACAAATACAAGAAGCAAAAGAAAAAAAAGAAGAAGTTTTTACAATTGGATTCATCAATGTAGAAGCCCTTTATCGATTTCCACGTATTCCATGGAAACCCACATTTCTATAAACAGACATTGCGTGCTTATCTAGAATAGATATTATAAACAATATATAAGTGCTAGAGGTATTAGCAGTCCATCACCGTGTATTATATAATAAAATGAGGCGTGAATTAGAGAGAAAAGCAGAAGAAAAAGAAGTAAACAGCGTGAAAATTATTGTAAAACATACTGTCTGAATGATCCCCATCTTCTGTTTGGTAAACTCTCGGCGTGGCTAGAAGAGACCAAAATGTTCGTGTTTACATAGAAAAAAACGTCAAATGAATTAATAAATGAACGACAAAGATCTTCGTGTCAACGGCCGAATATTATGAAAGCCAAAAGCGGAAACGACGAACGAATCACGCACGAATAAGTAACGAGTGGAAAGTAATTGTTATTCGAATTTTCTGGAAACGAAAAGAGTAGCATTATGATTACTGGTTTTACCTTGTTGGTGATCTCCTGAGGCTTGTCCTCAACCATGAGTGTCTGCTGATTGCCGGATTATTTAATGGACTTCTGATTCTATCCCTGAAACGTGAAGCCAAAGCGTAAAGTAAATGTTTATTATAAATCGTAAACCGTTCTATTTACAGCTAACACCATTCGAATCTACGATCTAAATTTACCAAAAAATAACAAAGAAAATTGAGTTAAAAATAATTGTTAATATTTACTTTAAATTTGTTTCAATTATGAAGGAATCTCATAAAATCTAGATCATATTTAGGATTAAGATTATATATACATAAGAAATCTCTAAAATATAATTTTTGAAACTAATTGGAACGATTATACTAGAACCACCTTTAAATAGTTACTAAACTTGTGTACTCTTATATAATAATTTTATTAAATATTAATGCAATTATTAGCTTTTTATATAATTAATAATTGCATTATTTTCTATAAAGTGGATGGAATATTTTCGTGAATAAAAATAATGACAAATTTCTGAGAATTTAATGTTTTCTTAATAGTACATTATTTTCTCTAACTATATACATTTATTTATTGTTATAGCTATAAACCTGATACATACACATCAGGTAATTCCATAGAATTTAAAATTCAAATACCCTTTGGGGATTCGTGACATGCAAATGGAAACATTTTCGTGGAACTTTTCCGGTCGATTCAATAATGAGTAAAATTCAAAGCAATTGCGACACGAGGACTTTCGCTTCACTTCCCGGTATAAAATACATATCTGATTCATCACTATAAATTTCAATATTTCAACTTTTATTTTTTATATCTTCTTCAATGAAAGCATGAACGTTTCGTGTGTGTCCGCTGTAGATCACGTTCAACGGGTTGTTTCGGTTTCAACTCTTACTCATATCCCCCCAATTGCGGTATGTCGGTCAAGTTCGTTGATACAAATGGGAACGACATTCATGAAGCTTAAAGGTACAGAAAATTAATAGCCTTTCGAGATTAAGAAGAAGGCAATTTACGGTGCCCTCGATCTTTCACGGAAATAGCTCAAATTTCACTTCAGAATATGTATGGGAATTATTAACAAGAAACAAAGTACAAAGTTAAATACAGATTTTATAATTAGAATTGATTGGATTTGATAAATAGGTTTCATTAAAAACTAATTAAGTCTCTAATTAATATTAGATTATATTATGTTTGCTTATTATTTAAATGCTTAAAAACAAACCAGAGATTTTCTTATTTATAAGCATATAATATTTGCATTTATATAACAGGATTTCATTAAATAAAACATGATTCTTATGTAGATTTTAGATCATGTGGAAGCGGAAATAGTGCAAGTTACGACGATTTTAAACGAGATAAACCGGAAACGGTTTACAAAAAGGATAATTAGTAAAATACAGTACGTTTTCCGCTCTGATGGAATTAACTAGAGTTAACCGAAATGTTTTTTGTATAATTAAACTGTAGTAATTACATATTAGTTTTTTTTATTGATTATTGCTGCTATGTTATACAAAACTACTTTCATTAGAAATTGATAATGACACACAAAGTATCGACATATTAATATTTAAATTTTGAATGTAAATTACAAAAGAAATAAAGATTTTATATTGATTAAAAAACTACGCTCGCATTTTCTTATTACACTATAGAATTGAATTATTAATCTTGATGAGATAATTAGCAGAAACCTTCGATGCAATTTTTCATGCATCCAAGACAAAGTGAGTCAGCGAGTTGTGTTACATAACATATCCACTTATGGTAGCGAAATGTTGATGATACGAAAAAAAAGGAAAGCTACTGACAACGTTTGCAGGAAATAATGCAATACTTTTATAACAGCAAATTTATACATAAACGGTATGTACAGACAAAAAGTAGAACTTCCGCGTTTATGCATCTTAATCCATTTAATTGCAAAACTTATAATTTTGCAGATACATACATAGTTTATATCGTAAGATTATACTAAACTCGAATGCAGTGGAACCTTGCTTAACTGGCATATCTCTGACTTCTCTCTTCCTCGTCACTCGTTAAATTTATTTAAATTTAATTACGTACAAGCATAAATTGTTAAAATAAGTTATAAGAAACAAAAAGATGTAGGCAACATAACAATAATCACTTACTTCTTATACAACCAATAATTGAATGATATTCAAACAACTGCTCGAATTTAGATACCGTACACAATCACGAATAAGACTATAATTTAATTTGTACAAAGTAAAGGTTATGTGTGTTTACTTCCATTGATTTATAGAGTAAATTAAGGTTATATTGATTTTCATTATCATTGCGTTACTAAAAACCATGATCCAATAGATTCGAATGAATTATATTTAATTCGTGATTTCATAATCAAAATATTATGTATAAATGGATCATTTGTTTGAATTTCCACTCCTATTTATTTATAGTTTAATTATTAATTAACGACTTGGTTCATATATCAAGAAAACCGTTTTATCTAAGTCGTTTTTTTAATTGTAGTTTTAAGTGCAGTATTTTTATATTTAGTATTAGTTGTTTTTTTTTATTCTAACGTATTATTTCGTATTTCTGCAATGTATATTTTCATCAACTTTCTCAATAAAATTATATTTTTGTTTCAAAATTATAACATTTTATTTAGTATGTAGAGTATTTACAATAATTATTAATAAAAGTACAAATTTGACACTATTTTAGATAAAATGCTTTAAAATATATAAATCAATTCGCATATTTGGCAGTAGTAACGCAGATCCAGCCATGTTATAAGTCAGTAAATTTTATCGATTTAATATTTATTAAGGGCATGAAATAAATCTTAGTTATTTATTATATAATTTCATAACAAAATTACTACAATTCTCAAATCATTTATTTGAATACGATCGTATTGCGGTAAATTATCCTTTGTGTATTTTTAAATTATCAGTCAAGAAAATAATAAAATATAATTACATAAACATGAAATGTTACTATTTTAAAGGGCTATTGACCTAAGGCCTTTGCGCCCTTTATTTTAATAATAAAGTCGTTAGAGTATATTTCCGTACAATATTCTTAGAAATGTGATTGTTAAGTGCTTATGAAAAATGGTATTCACGGCTTGGATAAAAATAGTGACGCAGCTAACGGTAAATCGATGGCGACAAACATTAACCGATGAATACGACTAATAACGACCTGATGAATTGGGATAATTCAGTACCGTTCAGTCACAAGGAAGTCGCTTATTAAGAAATTCAACCTTAATGTACAAACGCGACTCGTAACTGTACTCGAACTTGCATTTAAGTCGAATCAAACCCGCGCAACATTGCTAATTAGAATCCACGCTGAATAACGTATCGTTAATTTAACTGTAGAATCGAATGGTGTGTATAGAGACGGTAATGCGTATTTCTTACCCGTGGTGTCTTTCGTTTGCAATCCCGGAATCTGCATCGATGTCGGGCCCTTCGCCGTAGCTCTCGTAATTTTCACCATCTGAAAGCGACGAGCATTGACTCTTAGTCTGTCCTGTGGCTCGAGGACTGTCCGGAGGGCTCAGGATGAAGCGAGGATCCTCAGATCCTGCGCTGACTACGCCTCCACCGCCCCCGTTTTCCAAATGCGATTCCGCAGGGGCTGCCGTTATGGGCGACATCATGCTATCTGCGAAACAAACAGATCGAAACTTATGTCACCGAACGACTCATAAATTACATTTTAATTACATCACAATTACAGTTTCTCAATAAATATACACATAAAAACAATAAATAACAAGAAATATTTCAACTACTTCTCTTCAATTCCCCATTTTTCATGTCAATATTTAATAGCATGCAGCATAATAAATATTATAACATGGCGCAACCAAAATTAAGAGAATTTCAAAATGTGTACTGAATCTTCATTTAGATATTAATTCAATTAAGTTTATTGACACTCAATAGTTTACGTAAAAACAAGTTATAACAAAAATCTTTTAAAAATAATGAAAATTAGACTAATTTAATATCAAAGAACTTTTTAGTGACGGTGTTTTTAACGTGAAAATGAATGGTAATTGGAATTTACTTCACAGCGAATAGTATTATTGAAATGTATCTAATATATGAATTTCTTAAAAAATAATAAATGGAATTAGATTTCTTTAAAAGTTTAATAATTAATTAGTCGTAAAAAGTAATAGGCTGATAGTTCTTAGATCAAAGTAGGATCAATAAAAATCATTATTAAAAAAATGCAAATTGAAAAATTATCTGAATGATTTTGTTGTCCAATATTGACATATTTCTGTAAACTTACATTCCAAATACTCCAAGTAATCGCTCATTTTTGTAATTCTCATCCTTAAACTTTGATACCGTATCATGTATTCCATTGCGATGTAGCTCTATTTTTAATATCTTTTTTTACTACTTTCGTTATAACAATATCATTCAAAGCGTGACTGTCAAATAATTTCCGTAACAAACATAAAATCGTAATTGGTTGACATAATTGTCATTTTAATTATCCTCATCAGTGGCGTATCAAACTTATACAAAGTATCATTTTGAAACAACCAAAATAAAATTATATAAATAAATAAAAGTATTAAACAAAAAAATGAACCATGGCAATTGATATAATTAATATTAAAAAATAATTACAAAAAAAATATGTATGAATACATCAAAAAATAATAATTAAAAGAAACATCAAATTCAGAATGTTGAATATAAGCATATTAGTATAAAATATATAAGCTGAAAAATGTATGAATGAAAAGGGTAAAATGAATGAATAAATGAATGAATTATTTTACTACGTTCAATCGGAGTATGAAACGTTTAATTATATAGATTTATAGAAAAAATAAACTACTTTTAATTTGAAATACTTTCTATAGATACACAGAATCCACTTCGATAAACTTTCATAATTATGAATCTAACGATATGCAAACGATACTTAGGAAATTAGATTTTTTTTTGGAATTTCTGCCCCGAAGTGTGTCATCGTTGTCATTTACTTTTTGAATAGTCAATCATCTCTCGAGTTACACTTTCTAAGCGGATAAAAGTGAACAATAAATTTGAAAAGAATGAACTTTTCCAGTATTACTACTACTACCATCGTTATTATTATTATTAGTGGATGCTCGGCGCACAAAATAGAAAGTGCAATTAGTTCGTTCTGTTACACACACGATTACAAATAATGAAGAGGAGCGTTTTGTATACACATCACATCATCGGAAAGCAATCCGAACCCGATGCTATCAAACCTAAACTAAATACAGAATGTTTGCTCCACCTTTGTTTGCTACACTCACACAGAATATTTATTTTTGTACAGTTTTTTTATTATTATTTTTTTTTGGTGTGTGCGTTTACCTCTAGATTTCTCCTTGCGTTATTCAACAGGCATTACGTAAACTGCACAAAATTCAGTGAAAAATTACACTTGATACAACAAAACGTACAAAACTTGTTTTGAAAGTTTCTCAGTGGCGACGACAAAAAGAGCAAAATATCATTCGACAAAAACAAAAAATATATATATTTGTCACCTTTCTTAATTTACTTATTATAAATTATTTACATGACGTGAAATACTTTGGGACGTTTAATACACTTTGATGTAATCAGGTGATAATTAAAATAATAACAGGAATTCCATTATTAATTTTAATGTTTCCATTGAAAACTATAATTAAAAATCAATGAAATTATAAAACTAGTTTGAAAGTTCCCTAATAATTATCGTCAATACAAGATTTTTGTTATTTTCTTTTTATCAATTAATTACATATTTTCATTTCAATGAAATGGTTTTTATATATTTATATAGTATACATAAATAGAAGGAAGTAATTCATGTGTATAAGTAATTGTAAACCGTGAATAAGATTGTTAATTTTAATGTTTCCCTTCACAAGTAAAATTTAACTGCGGCTGTAAAACCTATTTTAAGTGCTACAGAGGTCCTCGTTCCACTTAATTATGATCGAAGTCGGAACCATTTAGACCGAAATGCGATATACCCGATGGCCCCATTTAGATACGGTACACTCCGCTCAATTGCTATAAAGAGCTTTTGAAGTTGTTGGTCCATGTATTTTATATACCTTTTCAGAAAACGTGCTCAATGTCTTTCAACTTTAACAGATCCGAGTCAAATTCTGTGATTTAGTGCTTCTCGGAGACGATTACATAATGTTCCGATTCCGCACACGTCTGATCATTTAGTCCTGTTATATTACGGTTATGGGCTTAAGTTTAAGTCCACTTCATCCACTGCAGTTAGTTATGTTATGATTCTACTTAATCGCTATTTGCCGCGACGGCTACATTCGTAAAGTGTGCATTGTTTTTTTATGAACCTTGGAATTCCTGTTTCTTTCTTCTTGCTGAATTTTATTGTATATTCGATATGACTATATCAGTTTCGATATGGTTTATTTAATAAATTTGATATTCTTAATGCATTCATTAATACATTAACCTACAGATAAAAAAAATACCAAATCCTTAGCAAAATTTTAAATAGAAATTGAAACTTATTTGTAGTTTAGTAAAAATTAATTATTTATTTAACTTTTTTGTATATTTGAAATAAATTTACTTTATTAATCAAGCTTTCTATCTTTAATACTTTCTAAATAATACAACTTATTAAATCAATGAAAATGTTTTGCATTGCAGTTTTAATGAACCTTGGAATTCTTGTTTCTTTCTTCTTTGTTGTATATTTTGTATATTTGATATTACTATATAAATTTATTTATGTTTAATTAATCAAGTTTGAATTTCTTAGTACCTTATAAATAATATAGATTTAGATATTTAGATATTCAATAATTCCTTTGTCATCTGACGGTACATGAGTACATTTATGTCACTATTTAAATTATAAAGAGACGTGAAACATACCTAAATACTTGATGTTGCTTCAATGTAATCTTTATATTGTATACAAAAACTATTTATTTTGCAAATCGAAACACCAAGTAATACTTGTATACTGTATAGGTTTTTTTATATTGTAACGAAAAGAAAAATAGTATACCGGGATACCATGAAGTAAGTTTATAAAATAATATTGCTACTAAATATAAATATGAAAATTCATCTGTTTTTGTAATCTAAATCATTTTAATTCACTTATTATACGATTTAAGTTTAAATTTGCCTGACTTTGCCAAAAAAAAAATATGCCTACAACATATTTTACATTGAAGATATTGCTGAAATTATTCATTTATAATTTTAATGTGTTTTAACAAATCAAAAGAAAATTTTTTTTTTTTATTTTAGCTATGGTCAGGTAAATAAAATACCAAATTATTGATACAAAATTAAACATTAATGTGGTTTAAGTGAGTAACTTAAAAAAATATATAAAAAATTGTATGTTTGTGAATAAAATCGCCACCTAGTAAGCCTTAAACTATAATATTAACTTGGTTTAAAGATATTTGTTTAGAATTGAGTAAAAATTAAATAATAGATTTCTGATCTTACATTTTAACTATCATAATTATTTTTTTGTTTAAATTAAATTAAAATTTGCTGAATTTAATAAATAATAATAATATTTATTGCAACAATAAATAAGAAAATTCAAAAAAAGATTTAATACAATAATTAAAACAAAATTGCCCGAATTTATCTATTACACTTTATAGATATTAAATTTATATTATTTTATACAAAGTTAGCTACAATTAATATTTATTTTTTATCTTAAATTACATATATAAATCTGAATGTAAGTTGTAAGTTTTTTTAATTACCTTTATATTAATTGATTAAAATTACAATTGTTTAACAAATAAGAAAGGTCACTTTAAGAATCTATTCTTCCTTATCGATTTATTATATTGGACAGCATCGATTGATATTCATGCAAAACAAAGTGTGGGAATAATTGTGTGTAAGCAGTGTAATAAGTCCGATGAGGTAATGGAACAGAGTGAAAAAGGTAAAGCCAAGAGAGTCCGAAGTAAAAGCGGAGCTGTGAGGCTGACACCGACTGGTACATAATATGTTACACTCCGTTACGTATTTATTTATTTCTACACATACATACAAACAGCGCAAATTCGAACGAACAACGATTTTATGTTTTCGTTTTACAACGAATGTAACCTTCGCATTTTAAATTATACTGATGCAGCCAGCAAACGAGAGAATGATACAAAACAAAACATACAAAAAAAAACGAAATGCAGAAATGCATGTCTGCCTTCGATACGTTTTACGATCTTCATAAATTTCAACATCCGGGATTTCCAACATCCATTACCCGTACATACCAAACATCAAATTCGTTAGCTTTCATGTTTTCCTATCAAGATTTATTTGCTATTAGACAGGTAAATAATTCATTTAGTTTGCACTATATTATACAGAAATATAATGAGATCTGCCAATGCGAACTATGAGGTTTTATAATATCACAAAAAAAGAGATTTTATGTATAAAATTTGGGTACTATTACTTTTTTTTTTAAATTTCAAATGGGACTAAAGTGAAGCCGAACTATGCGAGGTTTTGCTGTAACAAGTTGTTTAGTAATAGAATCCAAATGATCAGTTCATTAAGGTAACACAAACCACTTATTTACTCAAAGGATGTTTTCACCTTGGGCTTTTGGTAATAGATTTAGCGAGTCACAAT